ATTTGAATGTCACACTAAGATTTTCTTTTAGTGGATCTCCAAAAATTTGTTTGGATGTCACACTAATTTCTCTTTCTCCTTTACTCTTTTAGATGTATCCATAGATGGTTGAAACACTGATTTTAGTCAAGTAGAGACCCCCAGGATAGTGATATAGCACTTCGTATATGGGTCCCTAGAGAATAGCTTTTGTAGAATGACAATGGTGGATAGTATCACCAACATTGTTCTCTTTAATCACCATAATTATCTTAGTCTCTAGCATATGAATGCTCACATCTTTTTCAGTTTGTAGGACTCTTGCTGCTTCAAGTTTTATGCAGTTACTTCTTGGGCTCAGGTACATTTTCTTCCCTTCTCTCTTTTTTTTTTTAGTTTTGACTTTGTGCTCGTACTGATAATATTTTATATTTTGTGCAGGCCACTGTGGGAAGAGAATCCAAGCTTCAACCAGTTTTTCTACCTTGGGAGGCTTCAATTTTGGTACGTTTTTACTTTGTTTGTAATGTTCTTTTCTTTCTTTAGCTGCTTTCTGACACCCCTTTTTTTTTTTCTACACAGGCTTCAAGAGGATTGGGATACTTCTTCGTGAGCCACTCTGGGAGATGCCTGTTTCAGGTACGACTTTTCTTTTTGTAGTTTTACATATATTCTTTATAATTCTTCTTCTTTCTGCTGACTTCTCTTTTGCTTTGTGCAGGTCCTAGAAGTGCAGAATACCTGGTCTTTGGAAGGAAGAATAAGGATGTGGACTTCCTCTTCAGGCATAGTTTAGGAGACAGATTTGAGTCCTCTGTGAAGGACATTATACTTTTTTTTTCTTTCAGCTTATGTAATCTTGTAAAAAGATGTAGTCCACAGATTTGTATATGAAATTCTGAACTTAATAAAATAAAGTTATTTTATAAATTCAGTTGTTGACGAGCTCTCTTTTTTACTGCTCTTGAGACTTCTGTGGTTGTACTCTGACTTGTGCTCATAGTATTTTAAATATTTATTTGGAGATCTCGGCATGCAGTGCGATGTCGACCCAAATAAATATTTAAAATGCCCCCAGTCTTTAGGGACATTTGTAGATATTATTCGGGATACTTCTTTTCATAGTTTTAGACTGAGTCACAAGATTTAGATCCTTCTGTTCTGTGCTTTGTGCTACGGACATTGATGGAGGATTGCCTGATTTGTCTTTTACTGACTTGTCAGGTGATTTTTTGTACCTTCGACCCTATGCTTTCTTGCTTTGGCAGGCTTGTTGAAGTAGTAGATGCCAATGACCTAAACCCTTAGGTTTGTATCAGGTCGATGGCAAAAAGTCATCGGTCCAGAGCTTTGTGCATAGCGGACTTATTGATGACAGAATCCTCTTAGTTCAGCCTAAGGCTTTTCGTGAACTTTGGGATAATTTTTTCTTCGGTCCTTTGCTTTGTGCTTTGACGGACTTATTGAAAAAAAATTCCTTCGATCCTCGCTTTGTGCTTTACGAATTTGTTGAAGGATTTGCAGGTTCTAGATTCAGTTGATAGTACCGAACGTAGGTAGTATCTTGATCATTAACCACTTGAGAAGACTTTAACCTTAATTACTTGAGTTCATCAGATCGGGAGAGCTAGAATTTGATAGCACTTCGTCTTCTGGTTGCTGAGATGGGGGTTCCTCTACTGAGGCCTTTCTTATAGCTTGTTGAGTAGATGGAGCTGTTAGCGATCCAGCCATATTTGAGCTTGTTGGATCCGACCTCTTACACCCATTCAGGTTTCAGACTTGAGCTATGGGGATTGCGCTTCCCAATGCTGATTTCACTGAAGTTGGTAGATTTGGAGTCATCCTTTGCGGTTGTAGATTTTGGAGCCTACGAACATTTGATAGTTGCTCGAGATTTCTCCTTCCCACTGGAACTTTGATTCTCCAGTCATTTGGGAGAATTTTGTAGACTACGATCACTTGAATTTGTCGAGTCAAATTTGCCTTCGTACTTCCTATAGTCCATACTGACGGGTTGACGAAGTGGGGGTTCCGCTACTACGGCCTTTCTTATGGCTTGTTGAGTAGACAGAGCTGCCAGCGATCCGGCCATATTTGGGCGTGTTGGATCCGACCTTTTACACCCATTCGAACCTTAAGCTTCAAGCTGTTGGAAGACTTCAAACTTCTCTAGCTCAATTTGTTGGAGTGTGTAGTTACAAAAGTCTCTTTCTTGACTTTTGAAATATTGGTACACTCGAAGGAATGAAGTCATGAACTTTTAGAAAAATCACCCACATACATTTTAAAAAAGATTTTATTATATTCTTTAGCATGAAAGAATATCTGTATTGATAATTTTAAATATTAATTCGGGGATCTCGGCATACGGCGCGATGTCGACCCGAATAAATATTTAAATGCTCCCTGTCTCATAGGGAGATTTTGGATAGACTTTGTATTTTGAAATTTTAAATAATCATTCGGATATCTCGGCATGCGGCGTAATGTCGACCCGTATAAATATTTAAAATGCCCCCAAAATGATGGGAAATTTTGAAATGCATTCTTGCTACACAAGAGAATTTTAAAATACAAATATATTGCTTATAAACGTGTACAAAATACAAAGGGGCTCTCTTAATTGGATATGAACTTGCCACCAATTTTTTTAATGTCGGATGATTGGTCTCCTCAACATCAGGAACATAGTACTCGACCTTTTGATGTAGTTTGGGCAATGGTCATCTTCAATCTAAGAGAATAAGTTGAAAAGTGATGGGATTTCTTAAAGAATTCTCCAAGATGCCGACCATCAAGAATATTTTCTATATGGACCATCTTTGAGATTCACTTTTGATGAATTTCTTTAATGGTGGATCTCTAGAGGTACACACTAGATGTCACACCATTATTTGAATATATATATTTTTTCTAGAGATGTGTGTCTCTATATTTATTTTCCTTATGTCGGGACCTTTCAATGGTGAATTCTTAGATATGCATCCAAATGTCACACCCCAATGCTCACCGTACATATATTAACTCTCTCTTTGCTCTACCATCATAATAGAAGGTAGCTTTTAGTTCTATCGGGACCTTTCAGTGATGGATCTTTGGACATGAGGACCAAATGTCACATCCTGATATTCACCGTACAAAGCTTTCTTCATTCTTTGATCTACCATCATAATAGATAGTAGTTTTTAGCTTTATCAGGACCTTTCAGTGATGGATCTTTGGACATAAGAACCA